AAGTGATACGATTTTCAAAATTGATGGTTACATGATTTTACTAACCGCTGTTGGTTTTATGATTTTACAAATCCGCGATTGGTTTTATGAATAACAACAACGCTTTTGGTTGGTTACAAAAACTTTGTATGGTTACATGATTTTATAAAACCGTAGTATAGTTACATTTTTGTAATCAAACTGCTGTATGGTTATATCATATTTTTAAAAACCGTTGTATGGTTACATTGTTTTTCAAAGCTCTTTTATTTTTATATGATTTTACAAAACCACTGTCTGGTTATATGATTTTACAAAACCGCTGTATGGTGATATGTATTTACAAAACCGATGTTTACAAAGCCGCTGTATGGTTATATGATTTTACAAAACCGATGTTAAAAAGCCGCTGTATGGTTATATAATTTTACAAAACCGATGTTTACAAAGCCGCTGTATAGTTATATAATTTTACAAAACCGATGTTTACAAAGCCGCTGTATGGTTATATGATTTTACAAAACCGATGTTTACAAAACCGCTGTATGGTGTATGTTTTAACAAAACCGATGTTTACAAAGCCGCTGTATGGTTATATGATTTTACAAAACCGCTATTTGGTTATATTTTAAAATGGTTGAAAATAATGAGGTTTTTATAAACTAGTTTATGATTTTCAGAAATGTTTCAATCTGTAAGTTCCAGTTCTAAAAATTTCAGTTTATTCTTCTAGTTCCGGTTGTTTATACAAGCACCAGTTTATTCTTCAAGCTAAATCTGCAAGTTCCAGGTCATTCTAAAAGTTCCCTCCGCACGTTCAAGTTCATTATCCACGTTTTGGTTCATCCTTCACTTTCCAGTTAATCCATCAAGTTCTAACTCATTCTCCAAGTTCTAGTTCATTTTACAAGATCCAGTTCACCCACCACGCTCCAGTTCATTCTACAAGTTCCAGTTTATTCTAAAAGCTCATTCCCCACGTTCAAGTTCGTTCTGCACGTTCCAGTTCAATCTTCAAGTTCAGTCCACCCTACACTTTCCAGTTCATCCATCACGTTCCAGTTCATCCATCACGCATCCAGTTCAATCTAGACGTCCCAGTTCATTCTACAAGTTCCAGTATATTCTACACATTCTTGTCCTTCCACACATTTCAGTTCATTCTTTTCTTTTTTATAGTTCCAGTTCATTTTTCTAGTACCAGTTTTAATCCTTCAAGTTCCATTTTCATTCTTCGAGTTCCAGTTCATTCCCACGTTCTAGTTTTCATACTTCAAGTCCATTTTTTATCCTTCATTTTCACGTTTTCACCCTTCGCGTTCAAGTTTTCACCTTTCACGTTCCAGGTGTCATCCTGTATGTTCCAGTTTTCATCCCTCACGTTCCAGTTTTCACCCCTCACGTTCCACTTTTCATCTTTACAGTTTCAGTTCATTCTTCTAGTTCAAGTTTTCACTTGACTTGAAAAGACTTTAAGCAGACAGCGTTAATTCTCGTAACTCTATCATTGTTTATGTTTTATGTATTAATGTTTATATGTCTTTTGTATGTATTATATGTATGAATGACTGTCTTTATATGTTTTTTTATGTTTATGAATCGTTGTCTTTACAGTCTTGTGTATGAATAGCTGTCTCTTTATGTCCTTTGTATTAATTCTGTGTTTATATATCTTTTGTATGAATGACTGTCTTTGTATGTCTAATGTTTGAATGGTTGTCTTTATGTCTTGAGTATGAATTGTTTTAATATATCTTGTGTATGAATTGATGTCTTTATATGTCTTGTGAATGAATTGCTGTCTTTATATGTCTTTTGTATGAATGACTGTATTTATATGTCTTTTATATGAATGACTGTCTTTATATTTCTTGTGTATGAATGACTGTCTTTATATGCCTTGTGTATGTATTGCTGTCTTTATATATACTTTAATATATTAGTTCTGTAGTTATATGTATGTCTTTTGCATGAGTGGCTGTATTTATATGTTTTGTGTATAAATTGCTGTCGTTATATATGTTACTATGTCACTAATCATATTTTCTTTTAACTAATCAGTTTTTATTTCTTTCAGGACATATATTGTAATATTTGTTTCTGAAATTGATGGTCTATTTTCCAAAAAACGATGATATAATTTCGTTCTAATTTTTTGACATTAATTTACATACATTCATTCCAGTAGGGTCTTTGCTCTTTTCCCCCCTTGCAACTACCAAAGAAGGTGATCCTGCAAAGAATAGATGGTAGAGCAAAGATTATTTATGGCATGTTGATTATATAGTGGTCACTCATATCTACCAGTCCAGTAAGTGTATATCTGTTGTTCAACCATGAGACATATATTGTTTAAATGCCAAATAAATATATGTTCACTCATATCGTATTTTTGTGCTTTTGTAGATTATGGTAGAAGATGGTAAAGATTAATTAGATTTGGAGAAGATTGGAGTTCCAAGTCACCATGTCTGTTGGTGGTCACTTATGTCTGTCAGATGAATGGGTAGGTGGTCCCTCATGTCTGTCAGTCCAGTGGGTATATATTGTCTTTACTGCCAAGTCTGTTGGTGGTCACTCATGTCCGTCAGTCACGTGGGTGTATATTGCATTAACTGCCAAGTCTGTTGGTGGTCACTCATGTCCATCAGTCCAGTAAGTGCATATTTTTTTTAACTGCCAAGTAGGATGGTGGTCACTTATGTCCATCAGTCCAGTGAGCGTATATTATTTGAATTGCCAAGTCTGTTGGTGGTCACTCATGTCTGTCAGTTCAGCGGACTAATGTCCGCCAGGCCATCGGTTGTATATTGTTTGAACCTCCTAGTCTGTAGGTGGTCGCTCATGTCTGTCAGTCCCTTAAGCGCATTTTATTTGAACGACCAAGTCTGTTGATCACTCATGTCCGTCAGTCCTGTGGGTGTATTATTTGAACTGCCAATATGTTGGTGGTCACTTATGTCCATCAGTCCAGTGAGTGTATATTATTTGAACTGCCAAGTCTATTGTCTGTCAATTCAGTGGACTCGTGTCGGCCAGGCCCCCGGGTGTATTATTTTTGAACTGCCAAGTATGTTGGTGGTCACTCATGTCCATCAGTCCAGTTGGTACATTGTTCGAACTGCCTAGTCTGGTGGTGGTCACTCACGTCCCTCGGTCCAGTGGGTGTATGTTGTCTTTACTGCAAAGTCTATTGATTGTCCCTCGTGTCTGCCAGCCCAGAGGGTGTATATTGTTTGAATTGCCAAATCTGTTGGTGGTCACGTGTGTCGTCAGTCCAATGGGTGTATATTGCTTGAACTGCCGAGCCTGTTGGTGGTCACTTGTGTCTGCCAACTATTATATTGTTGTATTATTGTCTTTGTAACTTTGTCACTAATCATATTTTCTTTAAACAATTCCATTTTTATGTCTTTCAGGAAATATAATATTGTAATGATATTTGTTTCGGAAATTAATGGTCCAAAAGCGATGATATAATTTCGTTCTAAATTTGTTGACCTCAATTTTAATAAAGATGTTCATTCCAATATGGTCTTTGCTCCTTTTTTTTCTTGCAAATCCAAAAGATGATCAACCACTAAGAAGATCCAGCAGAGAAGAGATGGTGGGGCAAAGACCACTTTGACTATTTTGTGATATGTTAATTTCAATGTTGTGTCCAATTTAGTCATTGTGATTTATGTCTCTATTTTGTCACCACAGAATTTAAGATCAGCTAAAACAATCAGAGACTTAAGTCTTGTTGTCATGGCGTATCAGTTGTTTTTTTTTCACCTAACATTTTGGTATTTAAATCATCACTTGTCCTAAGTAAAAGAAGGTATTTTGCGTGAAACATATTGATTTTTTTGATACTTCGAACGAGTGGAATGTTCGTTTTGCACGAATTGGACGTTTCGTACCGTTTCTACAAAATTTCACGAATAATGGGAAGTACCTTACGCTACAAGTAACCGATGTCTGAGGCCCATACATATCACACTTCACCTAATCAGATTTCACGAACCGTTTCATTTATTCATACTGTGACCCACAAAGAATGTCTTTCAAGGACTATGAGCCATCCCAGTGACCCATAATGTCCAGAAATGAATGGAATAAAATGAATAGAGTTTTTACGTCTTACTATTCTGCACCATATGGGCTAATGAAGACGGGCAATGCCATGCGGGTTATTTTGCCAGGACAGTGTCATTAGCCTGCTCTTGGCCGATTTCTAACTGTCTTTAACGTGCACAGACTGTAGCACACGGGGTCTCTGTTTATTGTCCCATCCGAACGAATGGATGCATGTCAGCCCCTCTTACCCGTAATGTCCAGAAACAGGCTACCAAAATGCCAAAATATACATATAAATATGTAGTATCTACAACTCAGCTTCCTTACTTGATAAACTTGTATCCGAGGTACAAAGTTGTCCAAATCTTTCCTTCGTATGTAAAAAATAAAAAACATTTTTCAATAACTTTGTAACTCTTCGTTCTGAAATGGCAAAATTCGGACTGGGCAGAAAATTTAAATTTTATCAACAAAGTACGTCTTAATTTTAAAGGTTATAAAAGTCACAAAATTGTTTACGTAGTTTGCTGTCATGCTTATAAAAATACCCCAAAAATTAAATCTCATTTACGTAAAATGTATGTTTGAAGTGTACAATTAATTTCCGTGGATGACAGTTCGCGTGTTCATAGATATCCATAGGCATAGCTACAAAACAATAGTTTAAAAAATATCATCACAATTTATATTATGATATCAAACGTCAACCTCCCGTGACAGCTTCATAAAAAATCCACACATCAGTTACAGTCGGTGACGAAATGATCCATGTTTCGTGGTTGTTTTGACAGGTAAATAAGCGCGTCAGAGATGTTAAGAAAGTTCGAGTATGCTTTTTTTGGGAAATTCTGAGTCACACCCGGCTTTCAAGAAAGATATAAATTCTGGAGACAATAACTCAAGTTATCATTTCAACTGAAGATTTCAAGACTAAACGACTTAAATTTGGTTGAAGCAGTATGAAGCTGTTTACTTTTCTATTGTTGGCTACTTTTCAAGCCTTATCGAATGCCGCTTCGATACAACAACCGCTACAAAATATTCAGCAGGTGGCTCATGTAGATCCAAAAGTAAAGGCAGACATTGGTGAAGTCATTCAAGATGTTTTAGGAGATGTAGCAGAAACTTTAGTCGACATTCAAGCCGGAGAGAAAGTGAATCCAGCCGACCTGATCGGTACAGTTCGAGATGGCGAAGCAGATATTGCCGAAATCGTCGCAAAAGCTCTAAGTGCAACCACAGAAGCCCCGACCGACGTTATCGACACAATTCAAGACGCACAAGAAGATGCTGCCGATAACATGGCCGATATGATTGATACTGTCCAAGACGCACGAGGAGATGCTGCCGATATGATTGATACTGTCCAAGACGCACAAGAAGATGCTGTCGATAACATGGCCGATATGATTGATACTATCCAAGACGCACGAGAAGATGCTGCCGATAACATGGCCGATAACATTGATACTGCCCAAGACGCACAAGAACATGCTGTCGATAACATAGCCGATATGATTGATACTGCCCAAGACGCACAAGAAAATGCCGCCGATAACATGGCCGATAACATTGATACTGCCCAAGACGCACAAGAAAATGCTGCCGATAACATGGCCGATATGATTGATACTGTCCAACACGCACGAGGAGATGCTGCCGATATGATTGATACTGTCCAAGACGCACAAGAAGATGCTGTCGATAACATGGCCGATATGATTGATACTATCCAAGACGCACGAGAAGATGCTGCCGATAACATGGCCGATAACATTGATACTGCCCAAGACGCACAAGAACATGCTGTCGATAACATAGCCGATATGATTGATACTGCCCAAGACGCACAAGAAAATGCCGCCGATAACATGGCCGATAACATTGATACTGCCCAAGACGCACAAGAAAATGCCGCCGATAACATGGCTGATATCATTGATACTATCCAAGACGCACAAGAAGATGCTGCCGATACCATGGCCGATAACGTTTATACTATCCAAGACGCACAAGAAAATGCCGCCGATACCATGGCCGATATCATTGATACTATCCAAGACGCACGAGAAGATGCTGCCAATAACATGGCCGATAACATTGATACTATCCAAGACGCACAAGAAGATGCTGCCGATACCATGGCTGATATCATTGATACTATCCAAGACGCACAAGAAAATGCCGCCGATAACATGGCTGGTATCATTGACACTGTCCAAGATAGAATTGGCGATGGCATAGATCCAACAAGAGAGACATACGAAGATGCTGCCGATAACATGGTGGATGAAGAAGATTCCATGGATACAAATCAGGACATAATAGATGACATTCGGGAAACTTTGTCTGAGATTACCGAGACCTCTGATCCATCAGAAAAACCAACAATTGAGGAAATAATTGACAACATTATTAACGTGGAACCAAAAGATCTTGTAGAAGAAATCAGAGAAGAACTGGAAGAAATTGCAGATAAAGATTCCGCTGATGTAGTTGATAAAATAGATATCGAAAGTCTAACTGATGAAGAAGTTAAGGGACTGATAGATGCCGATCAAGAACAATTGGTAGGATTTTTAGGTAAGATAATATACATATTGTTATTTTCTCAAACTCAAGCAAAAAGTCTATAAACAATTTTTAAGGCTGAAATATTGAAGACCAATACTCATCCAAAATATATCAGAGATGACTTGATAGTCAAAGCTTATAGAATTTTACTAGCTGATCTCTTAGCTATACAAATAAATCGTTCCCATTAGGTGTCGGAATATATTCAAATAACCGGACGGACAAACCTAACGCGAATATTACAGTAGGTTGTCTTGACTTTAGTACATCTTATTTCACCAGGTTCGATAAAATCATTGTATTTTTTTTTACTTTTAGACATGCAACTTGGTGCTAATGAATTAAAGAAGAATGCCTCACCAAGAGTCAGAAGAAAGAGATGGGTGCCATTAGCCATTGCTGCAGGACGAATGGCTTTCGCTGGTGGACGTGCTTTATTCAAAAGATTTGCCTCTAAAGGTATTACCCGAAGTAGAGACAGGATCACAAAACATTATTCAAGACCAGGAAATTACTTCTCTGGACTCCGAGAATTTAAGAACTTGAATCCAACCAACGTAAAGAAAATCGGAGGATCTAAATTTAATGGATGGACCGGAACCTCTGGAAAAGTTCAGATTCGATAGAAGATAAGCATATAAAAAGACATTGACAAAATCAAGTTCAAAGAATCCCATTAGTGTACCATTGTGTTTCATTTTTTTTTTTTTTTTTTTTTTTTGATTTATACATTTTTATAAATAAAATTTTACAGTCCTTTGTTTTGTCGTATTATTTGACGACTATCAGGACACTTATCTACTTCATTGATACTGCCAATTTGCCAGGACAGCGACATAATTGTTGATATTCAACAGTCAAATTCTCTCTCTCTCTATCAGAAATGTAATATAGGCGCATGTCCCATATTCCATCCATCAGCAACAGTGGAAAGTTAAAAATAACTTCCATCGATGTTAAAGGGAGACGTGTGCGCCATTTTGGGGGGTTGATTTGGGTCTTTGTAAATAGTCTTCAGAAGTACTAGAAATGTACGAAAATTGCATAATTCCTTCAAAAATATTTTAAGCAAGGATTTCTTTTCCTATTTCTTAGATGCAGTTTCTATATATATGGCGGGATCTCAAGAAAAAACGACTCGTCTTTTTAATTTTAAACGAGGATAATTCTGGACACACAAGGATTTGAAGGTTTCGATGATGGACTGTATAATGTGAACACTATTATAAGTGGTTATACACACCTCGTGGAAGTATTCTCTTTGATGTTGCCCAACGATATTGGACAATTATTACCCCATAGTGATGACGTCCTATCAGATATCACCCTCTGACGAGGAAATAAAACAAACATTGTTTTGACAGTTATTTCTTTATTTTAATATTATATTAATAACGCAGTCAACAACAATTGACTAGAAATAATTCTCTTGTAGGTTTTTATTCCTGAAAATACAAATTACATCTCAAATTATACATGCCGGTAATGGATTTATATTTTGATTCATTTGACATTGCTGCCAATTGTCTCTCGTTTAAACACTTTGTCTTTGTGTCCTTTAAATTATTAAGTATAGTATGACTCAGTAGCGAGCAAAGATACGTGACGAGATGTGCTCTTTGAAATAAATAAATCTACAATCTACTTACCCTCGATAACGCTCCATTATTCAACTTTCGGTGTCATCTTTCGGCATTTTAAACCAACTGTTATTGAAATATCCTCTTTGTAACGTAACAACTGGGATCCATCGGGACATGAAACCAAAAAAAAATCTGACTGTTCTTCATATCGTAAATCTTGTACTCTTTCCCGCTACGTAACGAGAAATGTAATTCATTTAGGTAGATAAGCGTATTAATAGTAGCCTACACGAGGATTATTTGTCCTAGCAACTCATCACAATATTTCATCTTCTTCATTTGATATAGGTTCGGCCTGTTTTGTTTTTTTTTTCGTTTGAACTGGTTCTTTATTTGACTACTCAGCCAACAGTTTAGTTATCCATATAATCCAAATCATTTTGTATTTTGGAATCACCCTTTTTTGCGTTGGTTACTTCGCCATATCGGCCACCGTTTGAATGTTTTTCCTGCCCATTTATTCCGCTTCAGTTTTAGGAACTGATGTCTGGGTAACTTCCATAATGTCTTCATTCTTTGATAACTTTTAAACGTTGATCATTATCGTACACATTTTCTTCTGTATTCGATATATCGGAATAAATGTCTATGTTTTTATCAATATCGGTTTCGAGTATATAATCCAAAAATTCCGCACTTTGGATGGCCGTAATTAATTCCGTCCGAATTAGATGGAAGTAGAGTATTTTCTATTAATTGGCTTGCAATAATTAATTCTCCTTCCGAGTCATTTGTTATAGACGGCATGTTCTTATTGTTTGAACTTTGTCACGTGTTTTTAATCTGCACATGCATAATAGGATTCAGTGAGTAAACAACAACAAATCAACACGGGATGATATGGAAGAGTTCATTGTGGATTATAGGGATGAAGAAATTATCAATAGTTTAAATGTGATGTCGATGTGTATGTAAAATATTACCCTCTTGCCCTCGGTTAAATCGGCCTCTGGTAGAAGTTAATATTTACTACTGAACTTATTCAAGCCAAAAGGTTGTGCGATAGTGACAACATAAAGTTTCCTTGTTTGATATATAATTGTTGGCCATATCATACTTCTCTTCAGAAAAAAATCAAACCCTCTTTTGTCGGATTATCATAATCTTCAAAATTGTTCGAATTATCTTGATCTTCAAAATTGTTCTAGCTATTGTTAAAAGATTGATACAAACGAATAACCTCATCACATGCAATCGATTGTAAAACCTCTCGTCTTGGGCTTTTGCTTTCATGGGATTTAATAAAAAAAAGGATGGTGAAAATTCAGAAACATCAAGTCATTTTCTTGGGACTTTTCACATGCCATTGCCTAATAATTTTCTATACACAAATGATTAATATAACAAATGTACAGTAT